AACCTAGAGACTCCATCAAAAAGCTACTAGACTTAATACATCAATTTGGCAATGTAGCAGGATACAAAATTAACCCCAAGAAATCTGAGGCATTTCTATACACCAATAGTGAACTTTCAGAAAGAGAGATTAGAAAAAAAATCCCATTTACCATCGCACCAAAAAAATTAAGATACCTAGGAATAAACTTAACTAAAGAGGTTAAAGACCTCTACTCAGAAAACTACAGGACGTTGAAAAAAGAGATAGAGGAAGACATAAACAGATGGAAGAACATACCATGTTCTTGGATTGGTAGAATCAACATCATTAAAATGTCCATACTACCCAAAGCAATCTATACATTCAACGTACTTCCCATTAAAATACCAATGGCCTTCTTCAAAGATCTAGAACGAACTCTCCAAAAATTCATCTGGAATACAAAAAGACCCCGAATAGCTGCAACGATCCTGAGAAAGAACAAAGTAGGTGGGATCTCAATGCCAGATATCAAGCTGTATTACAAAGCCACTGTTCTCAAAACTGCCTGGTACTGGCACAAGAACAGACATATAGATCAGTGGAATAGAATAGAGAGTCCAGAAATTAGCCCGAACCAATATGCTCAATTAATTATTGACAAAGGAGGCATGAACATACAATGGAGCCAAGATAGTCTCTTCAATAAATGGTGTTGGGAAAATTGGACAAATATATGCAAGAAAATGAAACTAGACCACCAACTTACACCATACACAAGAATAAACTCAAAATGGATAAAGGACTTAAATGTACGACAGGAAACCATAAAAATTCTAGAAGAATACAAAGGCAACAAAATCTCAGACATATGCCAAAACAATTTCTTCACTGATACAGCTCTAGGGCAGTGAAACTAAAGAGCCCATGAACTCCAGAAACTCTTGTACAGTAGAAGGTTAAGTTCCAGGGGGACGGGGACTGTGCCTTAGTCGCCTTTGTATCCACTCCTCAGTGCCTCGCACAGCACCTGGCACATTTTACAGGAACCAACAATAATAATAGTTAACAATTTTTAAGCTCATTCCAAGTGCTAGGCCATGGACTAATCACTAAATATGAATCGTCCCCTTTCATTCTCACAACTTATTTTAGAGATGAGGAAACTGAGGCTGAGAATGGCAGGACTAGGACTGATGCCCATCATTCCAAAGCCAGTGCCACACTAGTGTTAAAGGGAGAGAGAGGAAAGGAGAGAGAGGGAGGGAGAGAGGGAAGAAAGAAGGAGAGAGGTGGAAAGGGAGGAAAGAAGGAGGGAAGGGGGAGAAAGGAGGGAAGCGGGGAGAAAGGAGGGCAGAAAGAGAGAGGAAAAAACAGTGTCACGGGGTTTCAAAAGACAGGGGCATACTTCCCTGAAGAGGTCAGGGATGAGCAGCTTCATGAAGAAGGTGGAGTTCCAGCTAGGGCTTGCAGGCTGGGCATGACTGGGACTCACAGAGGGGAATCCACCATCTACTGAAAAGACAGTGGCAGGTAACGTGCAGAGGCACTTTCCTATCACATTTCAGAGATTTGGGTGAGAAGGGGGCCCATCCCTCTTATCTTCCCCCTTGTCTTCCCCGGAGGCTCAGAGGTACAAGGACCAAAGGTGGAAGGGACTCTGGCAGTGGAGGAGGAGCCAGCTCTAAACAGTAAGAGCCAAGAAAATGGGGCTGGTCAGATGCTCAAGTTCAAAGGCCAGGACTAGAGGGAAGAGACCAAGCTGGAAGTTGGGGTGAAGGGCCAAAGTTTGGGTTCTTTTGGGTCAAGTGGAGAACTGGGGAAAGGGGTGGAGGAGCTTGGAAAGACCAGAGAAGAGGAACTGCACAGGGCGGCTGGAAAACGGGTCGGAGACAGAGGAGGATCAAAGGAGTCGGAGGGTCAGAGAAGATGGTCAGGAGACAGGGCGCCCACGCTGCAATCGGAGGTGTCAGGGGACCGCGGACCGAGAGTGGGTTGTGCGTTGTGGGTCGAGGAGAAGCCCACGGCGGAGTCCGAGGGTACGAGCGCTCTGGAGGACAGGGGCTGGGTTCGGAGTTGCTGCAGGGCTTGGGGCCGGAGGGGTGGGATAGGTGGGGCTGAGCCCAAAGGTATGGTCAGTGGCAGGGGGGCTGGAGTCCTCAAAGGCCAACAGGAGAAGGGCCCGAGGGTCAGGGCTGGAGCCAGCAGGCTGGCGCGCGGGCCGGGGAGGACCGGGGTCGGGATCACAGGGCCCTATTTGCTCCCCCCTGGGTCCGGGGAGCAAAGCCACAACCTCCGGCTTCCCGGAGAGATGGAAGGAGCCATGCTCAGCGTCCCCGCGAAAACATGTCTACCTCCCCCCGTGTCCGCGGGCCCAACCCGAACCCACCTCGCTCCCGCCGCTCGGTCAGGGACAGCGCTGCCTCGCTGAGCCGGGGAGGAGCCGGAGCCGGAACCCAGAAAGGACCCACCCTGCCTTTCCGGGATTGGCTCCTGAGAATTGCCTTTCTTTTCCATTGGCTCTACTTGCTGCCATAACGCAAGAAACCCGAGCGGGCCCGCCAATCAGCTGTGAACTCGGTGCTGGATTGCTGGGAGTTGTAGTCCTGAAGAAGATCGTAGCCTCAGAGAAGAAATGTGCCAAATTTGGAACCCAGCCTGGACGTTGGGTTTCCTCCTAAGGTCGTCAGATTTCCTTCTGTGCTTCAGCGTTAAAAGCCCCATGTAGGGCCAGTAGCCTGCGAGTTGTAGGCTATGTAGAGCTAACCTACATGACCTCCATGAGTTGGTGACTCTTACTGGTCCTGAAGACATTCCCCTAAGCCTAGAGTCCTGAGCCTCAGTCGAAGTTCATAGAGGTTCATAATTTAAAGTCAAAGGACTGTGGAACTGGAAGGGAGTTCAGAGATCAACCAACCCAATCCACTTATCAGAGAAGATAACCTTCCCTGTCCTAAGACCTCCAGGTCTCCTAACACCCCTGCACAGGGATTTTTCTGCGTCCTATGTAGTTAAACCTGACTGTTTGTTCATCAATCCTGACGGAACAAGCCCCCTAATGTATATCCAGGATTGGGATTTTTTTTTTCCAGGTTTCACTTTTTTAAAAGTCTAATTGAATAAGTAGGCTAAAATTCTACAGGCTTCTCATATCTGCACGCTATTTCAGTGCAGAGAGTATTGACTTCAGAGCTAAGTAAACCAGATCTATAATCCCAGTTCTAGCACCTAGCCGTTTGGAGCAGCATTTTCCTCCCCTGTACAATCCCTGGCAGAATTGTCGGGAGGCTATAGCAAGCTTCTGCCCCCACAAATGTCAGGTCTCTTTCCTGGTGGTAAATTCTCTTGGGTGCGTCCAGTGTGGACAATGTTCGTTTTACGATTGGGATATTCAGGAAAGTGGATTTGTAACTGAATATGGATGAGTGAAATATCAATACCCCACTATAAATATACTATTTGTTTATAAATTGATTTAAATAAAATGCTAAGAAGACAGACTCCAGTTTTTGTTGGGTAGAACTGAGTACCCATCTGAAAATTAATAGCTAATATCTCTATCAGAAATAGAACTGTAGCTTTATTTTTAACTGTGGTTAAAGTTTGCTTGAGTGGATTCAAGGCTGTTTGGAAACCAATCCCATAATGTGTTTTTCTCTTATCAGCCCAAAGACTTTTCCTACAACTTTTCATTCACAATGAAAATAACAACAATGAATACCAAACTTTTATTTAAGAACTGTACAAAAGCAAATAAAGATTTCTACTTGGGCCCTGGCTGGTGTGGCTCAGTTGGTTGAAGTGTCGTTCCATACAACAAAAGGTGGCGAGTTCAATTCTTAGTCAGGGCACATACCCAGGTTTGAGTTTAATCACTAGTCAGTATGCATACTGGAGGCATTGGTATGGATGTTTCTCTCACATTGATGTTTCTCTCTCTCTCTCTCTCTCTCTCTCTCTCTCTCTCTCTCTCTCAAATCAATAATAATAATAAACATTCTGTAATGAGAATTTTTTTAAAAGAAAGAAAAATTTTACTTGGTGATTAATTTTGTGTGTCAACTTGACTGGACTGCAGAATGCCCCAATATTTGGTCAAATATTATTCTGGATGTTTCTGTAAGGGTATTTTTGGATGAAATTAACATTTAAATTATTATCTTGAGTAAAGTAGATTGCTCTCCCTAACATGGTGGGCCTCACCAATCAGTTGAAGGCATAAATAGAACCAAAAAAGCTGACTCTTTCCCTAGTAAAATTCTTTCTTGGGACTTGCCATCCTCCATAATCACATGAGCCAATTTCTTTTTTTTTTTTTTTGAGCCAATTTCTTATAATCTTTCCCTTCGCGTCTGTCTGACGGAGAGAGAAGAAAATATCTGATTTCGATGAATAATA